GTATTTATAGGACGAAATAATAATTTCTCATTATTTAGTAATTATGTACGATAAGGAGATATAAATAAAAGGGAAGCCAACTCCATAATTATGTTGCGGATATATGGGCTGTCTGGGAATCGTACTTAAGGGAATCAACGGGATGAGCGATACATGTATCTTAAGTATTCATTAAGAGAATGTATTTAACCGTTACCTGTTTTTCTTTGTTTTCTTAAATTATAGTAAGTTGAAAGTATGAATATACAAAAAGGTGTGTAGAAATTTGCAGAAGTTTTAGTAAACGTGAAGGAACCCAAGTTTTATAGAAAGAATAGTAGGAATTGTATGAATAGCCATAAGTATATGAAGGAGTAAAATAAGAAGACTCCCCAAAAGAGTGTGGCCTTATTGTATTCCCTGTAATATATCTAGGAATGTCAACATAACCACACTGTGTGACCAATGAAGTAACCTAAGGTTTGTTCATGCAAGATAACAATTTGTTCTTAAGCGTATCACATTGTATATGCGGAAAGGGCATCTGTGATTGAAATAACTTTTGGAAATTTTATCATTATTCCTTATGATAGATTCCAGTCTGAACATTTATTGAGGATGCGGAGTGATTAGGTAACTTCTTCATATAAGTTTCCCTGAAATTGTAATATCACCACTGGGACCTCATTAAGGTAACCTTTGATCCATCGGGCGATCCTGAGATTTCAGATATCAGTCGATTCCTCATAATGATTCTTGTCTGAATTAAAATTCGATTTAAAATTTCTATAGATCCATAGACTGTGGAATGAGCAATTAGCGGCCTTGGATTCATTCTGTCTTTTGGAAATGTATATTATGAGAAATTCTGCGGAAACATGGAATCGTTTACATTTCATGTATGCAACCCATGTTAATATTTAGATGAAGCTACGTAAGCATCAAAATGATTATTGTCTGATACAGAATCCATGAATTTTCCGAGAGGTTTATCAGACGTCTATTCATTAATTCGCTTTACATAGGTTGTATAATATTCATTCAACCCAGTCATTACATTCCCGTTTAGAATGACATATTTGTGTGTAAAATAAGTGACACGAATGAGGGCTATGAAGAATATTGTGATAACTGTAAAGAACATGTCATTTATATTCATGCCAGATTTAAATACATTTGTCGGGATATATGAATGAAGTTCACAAAGCACATTTAACTCTATCAGTGAATGTATTTTTTATATATACCAACTTTAGTTAAGCTGCAACATGAACATACAAAATGTAGTACAAAGAAGAGGTTGTTAATAATATCCCTTATGACTAACTTTGTACTAGTATTCCTCAATAGCCCCGGACTAAATAGTTCCGTCATTTGTGTGAAATATAAAATGGCTTCACCCTTGTGTCCTGGGCGGTTTCCACGAAAGCATAATCGGAGGAATTATTAGGGTTTTTTTCTTTTCTTTCTTTTTTGCTTTCTTCTTATTTTTTCTATTTTCTTATAATTTTTCCTCTTGTTGTTTCTGTTAGTTTCTTCTTTTCTCTATTGTTAATCATTTTATTTTTTTCTTTTTTCTTTCTTTGTTTTTTTCTTTTTCTGATTTGTCTTTTCTTTTT